CCCACCCTCCCCCCTCCGATCGCGCCCCCGTCGCGCGCTCTTCATCCTGCCCGCCGCCCTCTCAAATTAACCCTCTTGTTTCCCCTGGCCGTCTGCGCCGCGACCCCCCGCGGCGACCCCAATCCACGGCGCCGTTCGCATCCAGCCCAGCCCGCGCCGAGTTCGCCAGCGCATCGGGCAGCAAATGCGGGGGCCCCCAAATTTGCTGCTAGATGGCCACCACGACCCAAGGCGGCGAAAGATAGCCCCCAGGCTCCGCGCAAGACGCCGGCACAATCGCCGCGGGGCCCCGATCGGCGCAGCCCCCGGGCGGCGGCGATTTGTTTAGGTGCAGCCGAGATGCCCGAATCGAGATACACAAAAAATGCAAAAACCATATCGGCCCCGCACTCGCAATCCCCGGGGACATGCGGTGCGCCTATTTGGAATGGTTAAACATTAGGCGGCCGGAATAGGCGAAACGCCCACCAACTCCGCGCGCGCATTTTTCTTGCATTTGTTCGCGTATCTCTTGCACGAAAAATGTACAACACATGTTATAAACATAGGCGGCCGGGGGGGCGCCTATTGTTTTGCACAAAAAATGTAAAAGAAATGCGCGTGAGAAAAAAGGCCCGCCCCGATCGGTGATAATGCCAGACTAATAAATGCGAAATGACTTGTCCACCGGGGCAGCCGGCCGGGGCGAGGTGGAATAGCCCGACGACACCTGGGAGGCCCGCGACGGAACGCAGCTACCCCATGGGGCCTTGCCCTCCCCCTGCCACGTGCGCCCTTGGGATGAGAGCCCGGCCGCCTCCCGGCGCCAGGCGTGAGGGCGGGCGGGCGAGGGCGCGACGCCAGGCGAGGGGCGCCGCCGCGCGGCTCAGCAGATGACGTCTGCGCCGCGACCCCCCCCGCGGCAACGTCCCCAAACAAAAATTCGCCGACATGGGGCGGTGCCTCAAGGGCAATGACCTTACGAAAACACGCCGTGGCCACGAAGGGGGCTCCAGCTGTCGCCCCTGATGGGGGGCCCACCGAAGCCCCCAACGGCGGCGGCCGCGCGCGGTGCTCGCAGGCCCCCCAAGCATTGCCCAACCGAAAGCCGCAGTGGTAGAGGCTGCGCGCCCTACTTGCACACCCCTCGCACGCTTCGTGGCCCCACAGGCGACTCCGTCGAGGCCGCGGTCGCAGCGGCCGCGCGCGACAATTGCACTCCCCAGGCTCCACCAAAGGCCCAAGCGGCATCAGCCGCGCGCGGCACTTGCGCACCCCTCGCGCGTTCGATGGCCCGAATCAGGAAACCCGCGCCGTCGTGGCCCCATGGGAACCTCCACCGAAGGCCTCAGAGGCGGCGGCCGCGCGCGGCACTTGCATAACCCCCACGCAATTCGCGGCTCGACGGGGGACCCCGCCGAAGGCCCTAGCGGCAGCGGCTGGGCGCGGCAGATTTGCGCAACTATCACGCGTGTCGTGGCCCCGCAGGAAGCTCCGCTGAAAGCCCCGACCCCGCTGACGCCGCTCGCGCGGCGGCTCTGGTTCACGTCAACACGCCCCTGTCAAACGTTCCCTGGCCCCTAGAAAAATTTCACCAGAAAGTGAAACCATAACTGCAGATGGGCGGACACTATCGCCAATGATTTGTTGGACGCGCACGGGCAACGCCAGGCTCCGCGCCGCGCCATTTCATGGCGCGCCCCCGCGGCGAGAGACCCCGAAACCGAACCATGGAAGCCGATCCCACGCGCTGCTGCAGGACGCATGATCGCCCTGAGCTGCCATGGCAACCGGCTTCCCCAGCAAGGCACTGGCTGCGCGCCGCAAATACCGCCTGCGCTTGAGGGCTTACACCTTAGAGCGTAATGCCATTTAACTTACATGTGTCAACTTCGTGTTGCTGTTCACCTATTTCCGTAACCTATGTTACGGCAGCTTCTGACTTATTCAACATACCATCACCTCTCCAGATTATCTTCGTTCTAAATTTGGAATGGTATGTTTTAACGCTCTCCCTCGGGTGCGCCGACGATGGGGGCTGGGAAGACGGGGGCCCGCGCACGATGCCGGTCAGGCCCGTGCGCAGGGGCAGAGGGGGAACAGGGGACGTGCTGAAAGAAGAAGCGCGGGGGCTGCGAAGCCGGGGCGCCCGGCCCTGGCCGTGATGCCCACACGCCACTCCCGGTCTGACTACCTACCAGACCACCCCAACCCAACCCGAAGACCCGAATTTCGGGTTGGGGGGGGTACGGGTTCCATATGTGTTTTTTCGATGTTCCCGGACCCCCCCCCACTAGAAATCGAGGGTAAATCTGAGCCTTCGGGTTGGGTTGGGGTGGTTTGGTGGGTGGTGACGGTCGGGAGCTTCTCCTTGGCATGCCGCGGCGGCGGCCCCGACGGCACGCCATACCTCACGGGCGGACAGCGCGTCGCTCCGCTCCGCGTGGCGGGCGGCCCGGAGAGGCCCGCAGCGCAGGTGCTCGGAGACCAGGAGGCGGCCGGCGTGCCGCGCCGAAGCGCGGGAGGCCAGAACCCGCGGCGCGGCACGCTCAGCAGACGCTCCTGGCCGCAATCCTCTCGCGCTCCCTCCCCCTCTGCCGTTGACTACCTACCAGACCACCCCAACCCAACCCGAAGACCCGAATTTCGGGTTGGGGGGGTAAGGGTTCCACGTGTGTTTTTTCGATATATCCAGGC